CCTGGAATGTATTTGCGGCTTGTTGTGATTGGTATTCTTGCTGTGCCTGGAATGTATTTGCGGCTTGTTGTGATTGGTATTCTTGCTGTGCCTGGAATGTATTTACGGCTTGTTGTGATTGGTATTCTTGTTGTGCCTGGAATGTATTTGCGGCTTGTTGCGATTGGTATGCTTGCTGTGCCTGGAATGTATTTGCGGCTTGTTGTGATTGGTATTCTTGCTGTGCCTGGAATGTATTTGCGGCTTGTTGTGATTGGAATAAATTAAATCTAGACTCATTAGGTTGGAATGTAGTTTCGTTTATTGGTTCTGATTGCATTGGTGAATCTATCTCCATTGATATAATTTGTGATTCCAATGAAACTTCATCACTTTGTTCAATAGCAGTTTCTCCACCAGCCGCATCTGAAGGCGTTGTAACCGTCATTATTGCAGTTGACAGGGTTGGTGATTGCTTTGATTTCTTAATAGGTGGTGTTATAGAAGATGTTGGAGAAATAGTAGTAGAAGCATGATAAGAATAACTTGTGGGTTCTTTCACTTTATATGTTGGATTTTTCTCAATATTCTCCTCCTGCTCAACTGAAGTTGATGTTAAGTGATTTAATTTTTTAGATTTTGTAGGTCTCTCGGTCTCAGTAATAATTGTGTTGTCTTCCTCTTTAGAAGTTTCAATATTATCATAAGACCTCTTTTCTTGTGCTTGAGGAGCCTTATCTTTCTCGAGAGGTAGTCTCTCGGTCTCAGTAATAATTGTGTTGTCTTCCTCTTTAGAGGTTTCAATATTATCATAAGACCTCTTTTCTTGTGCATGAGGAGCCTTATCTTTCTCGAGAGGTAGCCTCTCGGTCTCAGTAATAATTGTGTTGTCTTCCTCTTTAGAAGTTTTAATATTATCATAAGACCTCTTTTCCTGTGCTTGAGGAGCCTTATCTTTCTCGAGTGGTAATGTATAAAACCGAATCCTGCCAATTGGATCATCATTAGGAGGGTCGAGAACTCTATATTTTGCTCTGTAAGTAGACGCTGGCTTATTAAATTTCGCTGTTAGTTTCGTGTCATCTTCTTCACTTTTTTTAGGTAGTAATCCTTTCGTTCTTGGATTTGCTATTGTTCTACTTGATCTATCAACCATTACTTTAGAATATTTTGATGACGATGGCGGTGCTATTTCTTTTCCTTTACCTTTCTCTTTCTTTTTTTCTATTTCCGTCTCGATTTCTTTTTCTTTACCGTTTTCTTTCTTTTTCTCCATCGTCTTCTCAATTTCCCCATTCATATTAGTAATACACCCCCTTGACCCTTCAGGCATTACTTCAGAATAATTCAATGGCGGATCGATCTCTTTTCCTTTACCTTTTTCTTTCCTTTTCCGCATTTCCATTTCAACAACTTTCTCCTCCATGTTAGTAGTAGTCGTTGATGCTTGTGTTGATGTGCTATCCGTTGGCATTTGTGTCGAGTTGTTTTGCTGTCTTGAACCACCAAACATACGATATAATCTGTTAAATTGCGTCGTAACCCACCCTTTAATATTTTGCATTAAAGAATGACGATGATGATGATAATGACGATGTTGAATATTATTATTATTTTGACAAGGGCCTGCATCGATATGCTGACGAACGTGCCGAATAGGCCCTACGCCGAAGTTACTCTCATTTACGATGGGGCTGTAAGTTTGACGAATGCCGTCAAACATCGCTTCTTGAAAACAAGCATCAGGTTGAAGCGAAGACCCTTGGCTGCTAGTTCCTTGAGTGTTATTTGTGTTAGGTAGAGACATTTTAGAATTGCTTTTCTTGTTGCGCGAAATTGTTTTTATGTCAGAAAAAGTTTTTATTTATTTTGAGATGCGATTTGTTGTATATACCTTTCACAACGTGTCTGTAATCAAAACATTTTATATTGTTTTCGCGTAAAATTACTGATCATGTGATTTTTAAGGGTAACCAATCAAATAGCAGGATCATTGTGTAACGTTTAAATTTAATAATCGGCAAAAAAGCGTCAGATCATGTGATTTATAAGGGGTAAACCAATCAAATCGCAAGATCAATATGTAAACGGCTCATGAAAGAAATGGAACACGGGAAAAAAATTGGCGAGATACGAATATCTCGCCATTGAAGAATTGTACGGAGTCAAAGGTAGGTGCATTTTATTCGTTAAAATGCTGCTCATCAATCAATGCAAATTTTATTTTCATCCATCATTTCTATTTTACACAATAATTTGTTTTATTTTTTTTTAGTGTTCCGCGTAATACAACCGAATTGGAGGAAGAAATTCAGGCTCATAAAGATAAGAATAAAAGTATCTTTTTTTGTTTTGGTAGTAGATAAATAACTAAACGACATTTCTAACAATAGCCAAAATAAAATTTTAATTTCCAATGCCTCAAATTTCCCACGAAAAACGTGTCCGCATTTATGCTCTTCGACAAGAAGGGTATTCATTTCAAGAAATCGCCACGTCGGAGCAGGTGAGCGTGGCTTCAGTCCACCGAATATGCAAGAAGAAAGACGAAACTGGAAGCTTCGATGATGACCTAAGACCTGGCCGCACACCAACCCTTTCGCCACGTTATGAGCTAAACATAGTACGACTAATACAATCTGGAAAATGCTTCACCGCTGTTCAGATCCAACGCGAGCGCAAAAATGAGCTGGATGTTAATTTATCGGCGGAGAGCATACGGAGAATACTTCGGAAAAATGGCTTATCCGCAAGAATAAGGCGAAAAAAGCCTTTACTCAGTAAAACTCACCGAAGAAAAAGATTAAATTGGGCAAAGAAATACAGAAATTGGACATCCAACGATTGGAAGCGAATAATTTGGTCCGACGAAAGCAAGTTCCAACTATTTGGGTCGGACGGGAGGAAGTACTGTTGGAAGAAGCCTGGCGAATCTTTAAAAGGTCACCATATCACACCAACAATGAAATTTGGTGGTGGTTCAATTATGGTTTGGGGTTGCTTTACCGCCAATGGAGTTGGTGAACTCAAAAAAATCGATGGAAAATGACAGCTGATGTCTATGTTAATATTTGAAACACTAACTTATTAGACACAGTCTGGGAGATGATGCTGAAGGATACGAATTTTATCTTCCAGCAAGACAACGACCCCAAACATATCTCCAAAAAAGCGAAGCAATGATTCGTCAATAATGAGATCAACTTGCCTGGCTGGCCATTGCAGTCCCCTGACTTGAACCCTATCGAACACTTGTGGAATGAAGTCGATAGGCGTTTGAGGCATCTGCCTGGCTCACTTTCATTAAAGAAGACTGGGAAAAGCTACAAGTCGCGTGGAAAAGCATTGATGTCGATTTTGTACAAAGTTGGTTGACTCAATGCCAAAAAGGATAAATGATGTTATAGCGGCAAGGGGTGGTTCTATAAAATGGTAAACTAGGTTAATCAGGTTTGTAATTTCAAAGAAATTAGAAACTATTGACTTACTTAATTAGCAAACTACCTGCAAATTTCTTCCCCCAATTCGGTTGTATTACGCGGAACACTAAAAAAAAATAAAAAAAATTATTGTGTAAAATAGAAATGATGGATGAAAATAAAATTTGCATTGATTGATGAGCAGCATTTTAACGAATAAAATGCACCTACCTTTGACTCCGTACAATTCTTCAATGGCGAGATATTCGTATCTCGCCAATTTTTTTCCCGTGTTCCATTTCTTTCATGAGCCGTTTACATATTGATCTTGCGATTTGATTGGTTTACCCCTTATAAATCACATGATCTGACGCTTATTACATAATTAGAATAATTTGTTGGCAGGTGAAATTTGCTTTTTATTGGTCATATCAGGTGAAACTTGCATCAATCAATGCATTCGGGATAAGGGTATTGGCAAAAGTCATACGAAAATACATATAATATCAACATTGATGTCACTTCATAAAATTCTTAAAAAATTCTTCACGATCTCAAGATTTTGATTCTCATTAGAAATTTCATACAAAATTTCGTATCGTACGTTATCCTCTTGATCCATTGAAATGATTACAAATTTTGTATCGTAGATAAAAATCGTGCTTTTTAAATTTATTGATTTCTTTATCTTTAAGCAAAAACATGCTTCTTTTTGTAAAATTCTTACAATAATTCACACTTTATATTTTAGATCCGTGAAGTAATTTAGATAATTATGAATATGTATGTATCTGTCAAGTGATTGTGCATCATGATAAAAGAAACTATTTTTAGTTGGATTTTTCTGAATATTGTTGACAATTAATATTAGAGTAAGATAAGTGAATGATGACATGAAGCGAGAGTGATGATTCTTCAATTTCTGATTTAGGTACAGTCAGACATTCCTAATTGCACATCCTGGGGACCGATCCTTTAGTGTGCAATTAGAGAGGTGTGCATTTAGAAAATAGCCAATCATATTGATACACGTGAAATTAAAAATTATTCGAAATTTTATTAAACTTCCAAAAAAGTGTCAATACTGACTTGTTTCAACGAGATATTTTGAAGTCTTTTTATCTTGTATAACTTTGACAATGTTTTATTATTTTTAACTTAATAATATTGTCAAAATCATGCTGAACAAGATATATTATATTATTAATTACAAAGCATTCTGTGCTTCTTTGTGAGTAATTTTTTGATATTCTATACTGTTATCATCTTCTTTTTCTCATCATTATTCTTCTCAGTAATTAGATTCATGATTTCTTGATTAGTAAATAGCTCATCTATAATCTTTATTGATATATTTACTAATATTTTGCAAATAAAATATTTTGATATTTATTTGCAACTCTCTTATTAAATTGATATCATTATCATTATTAATATCATTATCTTTATTAATATTATTATTATAGGTTGGTACAAAATATTTGTATCTTAAATAAACATTAATAAATTATTTTTTCAAAATAAAATTTTAATTCTGTCTTATTTAATTAAGTTATTAAGTATTGGAATTTATTTAAATATAAAAATTTTTATTATATATCTTTTATAAAAAAATTTTTTTACTAATTATAACTTTTTTCAATTATTATTTCTTAAATTCTACTATATAAAATTTGATTAAAATTAATATAAAAATTATATAGTAAATAATTTAATTACTTAACTTTGAATCTTAATATCTTTATAATTACTAATTTAATTTTTATGAACTTTAAAATATATATTTATCAAATCTAGAACAATCTGCTTGTATAATTTGAAGCTTTAATATTATAAATTAATAGTAATAATATTTAAAAATATCTTTTTTTTAAAAATAATTTTATTTTAGTTTTTTTTAGTAAAGTAATACTTTATTTTATTATTGAATTTAAAGTATAATAGAATAATTAAAATAGTATAAAAAGTTAATTTAGATTATTTTTATTTAATATATTATAAAGATTATTAAAATTAAATTATTTTTATTAGAAATAATTATTAATTTTTATATTAAGATATAAATCTTTTTGTACTAATCTATATTAATATCATTATTCTTATTATTAAAATTGATAAGTATTAAAAAATTTCTATATATTTAAAATAATTATATATATTATTATTAATAATATCTTATATTAAACTTAAATAATAAATTATATAGTAATAAAAAATATTTATTTTATTATTTTTGATCTCTAATTTATATTTTTAAAGTAATTACTTTATAAAATAGTTTTAATAATAATATTTAAAAGATATAATAATATTAATATTTATAGATTAAATATAAAATATTATATTTAAAAAAAGAAATAAATAGTTAAGTTAAAAGATTTAAATTACTAATATAACTTAATATATTATTAATTAATAAAATTATCTTATAACTAATTATAGATTAGTATAAAAAGATTTATATTCAGATAAATATTGATAAATTATTTTTTCAAAATAAAATTTTAATTTTATTTTATTTATTTAAGTTATTAGATATTGGAATTTATTTAAATATAAAAATTTTTATTATATATCTTTTATAAAAAAATTTTTACTAATAATAACTTTTTTTAATTATTATTTCTTAAATTTTATTATATAAATTTAATTAAAATTAATATAAAAATTATATAATAAATAGTATAATTACTTAACTTTGAATCTTAATATTTTTATGACTGTTATATATTTATTAAATCTAGAGCAATTTACTTATATAATTTGAAATTCTAATATTATAAATTAATAATAATAATATTTAAAATATCTTTTTTTTAAAAAAAATAATTTTATTTTAGTATTTTTAATAAAGTGATACTTTATTTATTATTGAATTAAA